ACCATTGCAAACCAAAAAAAAAAAAAAAAAATACAGTGTAGCCCAGTTATTAGAAAGAAAGGGATAAATATAATTAAAAAAACCACTCGTGGTTTTCTCTTACTTTGCAGTGCCTGCTCGTTGACCCGGTGAAATATACTTACCTTACTATTACACCCCTAAACTTCCCAAAACATTGCACATAGCCCCATCATATATGTAGCTAATTCAGATATCTAAAGAACTGAGCGTGCGGACCATCTATATATATTAATGCATAATGTCTCGATCCAACACGTTGATTTCTGATGCTTTGTAATTTTATGTGTCCAATTCTGGTACTTCAAGATCCTATGTGTTTGGTTTAGTACTTTAAAATTATAAAGCATTTGACCAACTTAAACTACAAATACATTTTAAAAGTTAATAACTTTTGCATTTGTTATTTAATTTTCATAAATAAATAATTTTTATATATAATAAAAATTAAATTATATATATAAATATATGTATTTATTTATATTTAAGATAAAATTATATATCAATATTAATTTAAAAATAATAAAATTATATATCAATATTTAAGATAAAATTATATATCAATATTAATTTAAAAATAATAAAATTATTTATCAATTAAATAAATTTGTCTATTAAATCCATTATATAATGTGACATAAAAACGTCAATTCATTATATAATATGAATTAAAGAACTTATGTGATAAGTGTCCTTTTAAAAATAAATAAGAATCTAAGTTTGTAAGAATGGTTTAAAACGTAAAATAAAAACTTCCCTTCATGTACACACAAAGGTGTAATTTGGAGTAGCCCGCTCCATATATTAATATTGTCGATTTTTGGTTCTTTGTAATCATATATGTTGAATTCTAGTACTTCGTCATCATGTGTTAGGTTCTGAGTAGATACAAGTAGATCTAGACTTCTATTCATTGGTATTGCGACTTGTACAATTATATTTATAAAACTTGACGAACATAAACTACAAATACATTTTAAACGTTAATAACTTTCGTATTTATTATCAGATTTTCATATATAATACATCAAATTAATCGTCTCATAACAAGCTTCAATTTGACATCCATTGTATATATAAATATATATATATTTACGTTTATAATAATAATAATTAATTTACATATAAATATTAATTGAAAAATAATAAATTAATTATCAACTAAATAAATGTGTATTAATTTATTATATAATATGACTTAAAAAATTTATGTGATAAGTGTCATATTAAATATAAATAATAATCTAAGTTTGTAAGAATAATTTGAAACAAAAAATAAAAACTTCCCTTTATGTGGAGTAGCCATGTCAAAATTTTATTATATCCATACTTATTACAATTTTTAAAATTATAAAATATTTGACTAACTTAAATCATAAATATATTTAAAAGTTAATAACTTTTGTATTTGTTATTAAATTTAGTATATAATATATCAAATAAATAATTTTATTTTTCTTTATCATAAAATTAAATTATCTTTAGTACTAATTAAAACTAATAAAATTATATCTCAATTCAAAAAGACATCTATAAATCTATTATATATCAAGTAGAAAAATTATTATAATATAAGACCGAAAAATTGTACAAGTGAAAATTTTAATTTTAAATACAAATAATACTGTAATTTCTTAAAAAGTATTTGAAATTTAAATACAACAAAACTTATCTCTTACATTCTTTTTAAGAATTTTTTCAAGAATTTCAGTATATATTTTTTAGTTAACACCCGTGTAATCACGGGTGCTGTACTAGTTATAATTAGAGAAGTTAAAGTATATAATGATAAAAACATATGACCGCCTCAGAAATTTTAATCTGATTCAGTTGCCAAAAGTCAAAGCACTCCACTCTCAAGGGTCATCTTTGTAATTTCTGTATATATCTAATTTATGATTTATTTTGTTTTTTTTTTTTGTAATTTTGCCAACTTGTTTGTAGTCAATCTAAAATTATAGATCTGATTTTGTAGATATCCATAAATGATATGCAGAAACAATGTGCATTTTATCAGATGGAAAACAGAAAATGCACTTGAACATGAGAAACTCACTGGCTGCAGATGATGATGGTTCCGCTCGAGAAGTCGACGACTCCCTGTGACCTATATGTTGCTTGAATTTGTCGTCCGCCAGGTACTCGGCTCTAGAAGCTTCCATTACCATGCGCTCGATTTCCTTCTCAGTCAGCTCAATATCAGAGTGAAATCGTCCCTCAGCTATAAGCGCCTAACAAAATGAACAAAATTTTTATGTCATTTTATTATCACAGATGATAACATGTCATTCTTCACTTAAGGCTGCCAAATAATTACATTGTCAATCTGCTGATCTTGTTGAGCCTTAATAGCTGCTTTGACCTGATCTTTATCGACGTTCCTCTGTCAAAAACACAGTAACTGAGGGACAAATATACACATCGGCACCTAAGGTACAAAATGCATACATTGCCCTTAATTTAACCTAATTACCAAAGGAACCCAGTAAGCACGATTCCATCGCTGACGTATTTAATGATGCTAGATATATATCAGAACTCAAGGGATAAATTTCACATATGCTTTAGCCTAACCCAAATAAAAAAATAAAAAAAATAATAATAATAAAATAAAAATAAAAATAAAAATATAATAATTAAAGAAAACCCAGTTACCAAACAAAACTGATAAACTCACCCTGACGGAAGTCCTAATTTATAATTTTTAAACAATAACTGGATTTTATTTATCACGACTATAATTACCATTATCATTACTACTATTATTATGGAACGGCTCTAACCACTCTCTTAGCCGAACATGAACTCAATGTCTTTTGCGTTCGCTAGTATTTTTGGCGATTAGACTCTACACCTTAACGGTACTTCCAAACATTTGATACAAAATGCAATATGTTCATTACTTAAACATACCCCCTGAAGAGAGCTAAAACCAAGTCCAGCTCCAACTGTCATCCTACGTGGATCCACAAGGGAATTATAGTGATTTCCGTGGTGGTAGCTGAGTCGTATTGGGGGCGTGTCAGTATTATAACTTCCATGGAATATGTTGATAGGTTCTGGGAACAAAAATGTCAATCTTAACAAGCAGAATAACCAGAGGTAAAGCAAATGTCCAAAGCATGATCATATTATAGTTAAAACACCTGTACTATAAGAATATATATGAATGGGTCGATTGTACATCTCTGATAGAGCCTGGATTTCCATATTATTTCCATAAACCTGGAAACCAGAAAAGAGATCAAATTGTGAAAAATTAGGGCCTTGCAATTCTGCATAAACTAGGTAACCTAAATTATGCTTTATCAATATCTGCATAAGAAACAGAAATGCCTACACTTTAATAACACCACTTCTTGGGAGAACAAAATTAATTTTTGAAAAACACCAGAAAAATCTTACATAATTAATATTAACTGTTTTACAAGTTCTCAACATACAAAAGATAAACATTGGAACTCTACTTAAAATTACATTATATTACATTCATTGAAAATATCCGAAAACCATGTACCTTATCCCTTCTCTTCCTCTTACAATAGGAAGTAAATCCTTCAGTTATGAACTGTGAAAAGTGATCTCTTTCTCTCTCCTGCATAAACAGCAAAACAAGTCATTTCCAAATATATGTTGCAATAATGTTTACCCTGTGTGTGAAGAACTGATCATGTTGGTAATACCCATTAAAGTTCGGGAACAAAACAAACCTTGATTCCACCATGTACAGACAGAAATATTAATTATAGTAATCCCAACTCCTAATAAACAAAAGAAAGCAGAAAACCCCATACCATATAGTCTATACACATCTGCCTAGCCAAATCATATAGTTCAGAGTCACCATATACTTGATCTGCAACAGCACGAAAAAGGCAGTTCCCATCCTCGAGCATTTTTCTTACTTCCAAGCCTTTGAGTCGCCTCAAATCAATCACAAACTGATGCTCCCTTTCCTGCAATAGATAACACTGATAATCTCAAGCGTGTAGCAGTGCCTTGTACTCTGAACCAAATTGAAAAGAACTTAACTTGCACACATGAGCAACTGACAAATCAACAAACTAACAGGATTCATATAATCATGCCCAAAATATTAAATAATTGTAAGCATAAACTTAAAAGCTGCTTCATAGATCTTTAATAGAAGATTTTAGGAAACAAAAAAGTAAATCGATACTGAAAATTTGATAGATACGCTGGCTAATATAAACAAAAAGAAAATTTGATTGATACGCTGGCTAAAACAAACAAAAAAATAAATAAATAAAGAATAAAAAACCAAAATCATTCAAACCAGCAACAACATATGAATAGAAACTCACTGAATCACCAAAGGATGAAGTAAAGCATGGACCCTGCTCATCAGCACTGTTATATCCTTCACCTTCACAATGGGCCCTAGGTGAAGATGCACGAGATCCAGTTGGTGATGACTGGCTGCACGCACCAGGCCAGCCCGAAGTTCTCCTGGAAGGCTCTATTCTCACAGCGTTCGACTCTGAAGGTGCATATCTTCTAGAATTTGTAATCACTGGTTTAGGAGGGGGCACAGGCGGAGGTGGTGGATACGTACTGCCAGTGACTGTACGGAAAGAACTTCCAGAGCCCACAACATTATTTTCTTCTTCCACAGTTGCCAATCCCCCACACCTCTTTGTGGAATTTCTGGGACTTGTAGCATCATCATCACATGCCTTCTTCTCATTCTCGGATATTTCACTTTGACTCTGATCAACATTTGAAGTTCCCGAAAAAAAATCCTCGCCTCTGTTCACAGATACTACACATTTCTCTACAAACTCATCCACAATAGTTTGTTCTTGAACTTGTGCTACCAAATTCTCATCTTTTACAGCTTGAACAACTTGTGCAGTGCCAGAAGAAGAGGAAGAAGAAGATGATGACAACAATGACGATGATGGTTGTGATGATGATGATGGTTGTGATGATGATGATGGTGATGATCTATTTTGATTTGATGATGATGCTGAACCAGCAGAGTTTCGCTGAACTAAAATCCGAGTCATAATTTTCCTTCTTCAAACTCCAAGGTGGAAGCTCTTATTCGCTTGTTTTAGTTATTTTGCCCCGCCCAACAAAAACAAAAAGTTAGAGAAACAAAGATGCAGATTTCAATTTGCCGCGTGTTCTGGCCTTGGGGGCAGCAACGCCAATTCCACGGTTGAGCGATTTGTTCTTCCAGCTCAATAGGATCTGATCATCTAAAATTGTTTTCTGCATTCCCCTAAGAATTCTCATGAGATCTTGACCTCCAAATCTTATTTTGTAAACAATAAACCCCTCTTTGAGATATAATATGCGAATTGACCCGTGATAACGCCCTAG